TTTGATAGTAAACTTTAGATTGTTCTGCCCTTATCTTGCATTCCAAGTCAAATATTGGCTGGATCATTTATTCACTTTGAATATATGCATCGTGTCGTGTATGAAAGAAGTGATAGTTGAGTAAGAAGAAGAAAATAAATGAATTGACTTAACTACATTGAGCTAATGAAATTAAATTTGCAAGAAAAGAAACTTAATATTTTTATAAAAAAAATTATTACAATTGGAATGTGTTAAAAATCTAGAACACGTTTCGTTCCATTTTTTCAAAACTCATATTTCCTCCAATTCATTTTTAATTACACATTTTATAAGATTTACAACTTTTATCAACTTTTCAACTATACATTAGCAAAAACTACAAAACTAAACTGGGCTTAATATGAAATACCGGCTTAATATACTACCCATTGTGGGCATGAGATCAATTTCATATGAAATACATTATTTTCTTCTCTTTTGTTGTACAATCAAGCTTCCTCTCAAACTTGTAGCTTTGAGTAGAAGTAAATAATTTGGTATTCGTTTTGCTTTCTTATTATCTTACACAAGTATGTGTTTGTACAATAGTCACGTGTTAAATAAAGCAAAACAGCGAGTAAAAAAACACGCTTAGATATATGTTGATTGTACGTATTAATTGATTCATCAAGAAATCCAAACAATGTGACCTAATGCAAATGCTAATAAAAATTGCAAGGTTATCTAAATCGTCTAAATTAATGAACTAACGATATTAATTAAATAAAAATGATTTTTGAAGTCGTGTTTTTGTCTTCTCCTACGTAAATCCCTTTTGGCATACAAAGGAAAACGACTTCTTCTAGACTTATAGCATTACTTCATCCAAACAAACAAACAAAGAACCAAAAATTTAAATCATTTTTTCATTCCCTCTTTACCAGATAATTTACAGTCACATAATTATCGTTTTACTCGACCACTGAAAGTTCGAAACAGATTTAGTTGTTTGGTGGAGATTAAAATTAGATTTTTAGTAGATTGTGATGGAAGGTTTTAAAATGTGTGGTTGAAAAGTTGTGAGACTCATGAAAGATGTAGTTAATATTAATTGTTTGATTTTTATTTTGATTAAAAATTAATTTTAATCTGAAAGAAACATGGCCTAAATAAAATTCAGCCCGCATGGTGCTTTTTATTTTTGTTATAAAACTAAAGACTATTCGATCCGATATTGGTCCACCAATGTGGACCAAGAATAGTAGCTCTTGTATTTTTCCACATCCGTTGAATTCTTGGTATCTCAAAACATTGGATTACCACTAAAATATTTCTCTGTTCTAAATGCGTGTTTGAATTATGGTAAGTTCGTGGTAGGTAGGTGGAGGTTAATTTCTTTGCTTGACTAATCGGATTCACTTTTACTTTTGTTTTTACTTTTGACTTCTGGAAAACAGGTTTTGGAGGAAGTTACATTAATTTTTGATTAAAAATTAAATTTTAAAAGTGTTTTTGAAAGAAACCGCAGTTGAATAACTTCCTCTAAAAACTCTTATAGCCAATGGGTCCAAAAGTTGCTTTTGAATTTCAAAAACTCTTTTTAACTTTTCAAAGATCATGTCAAACGGACCCTAAATCTGGCTCACATTCTTTAAAATTAATTTTTTTCTCAAATTCGTTTTTTACTTTATATTTTATACGTCCCTGTTTGATTTTTATAAAAAAATTGGTAATTTTTCATAAAAATTGATGAAATGTGTGGTTGAAAAATTAATAAAAATTGTGGTATCCATAAAATGTGTGATTGACAACGAATTAAAAAAAAAAAAAAGGAGTTTTAAGAAATATGGGTCAAACATGGATTTTATGAGACTTCATATTTTTTATTAACTTTTCAATCATACATTTTATCAATTTTTATCAAAATTTACTTAAAAATTTAAATTGGGACTAAATTAGTTGCCAATTCTTGTCCTGTTTCCCATGTGTAAGGCAGTCCTTGGACTGACCCACCCCAAGATTCCACATAATCCATTTAAATGGTCGAACACGTGTGCGTTTACTGCACCCGTTATTTGACTGTGGTTTGTAGCACATTGACCACGCACCTGCTTCGTGGCTGCATCCAGTCTCTTTTCAAATGCATGGGATTTTCTTTCTTTCTCCCTTTCCCTTTTTTTTTTTGGCCTTTTTCCTTTTTCCTTTTTCCCTTTTCCCTTTTTTTTCTTCTTTTTGGTAAGCCAAAAAAATGGTTAATGGCAGGGAACGAATCAATCGTAATGATAATATTGATTGAATTATTTTCCCATATTTAAAGAAAAATGTAAAATTATGATTATGGGCGGACCCGGGGGTCCTAGGGGCAGGTGCCCCCAACTTTTGAAATTCTTTTTGTTTTTATTTATATAAAATCACGTTTGGTATCGATTGAAATATAAATTTTAATCTAAATCCATATCAACACTTAATTTTAATTACATATTTCATGGAATCCATAACTATTTAACTTTTATCAAAATTTACTAAAATTTTGATTTTAATCTCCATCGAACATGGGCAAAATCACAATAAATTTTAATTTTTCTCTTTTTCTCTCGCTTTTAACAAAATATTAACTCTCCATCAAATAAAAACGAAATATTGCATTCTTAATACTATTTTGAAGTGTTCACAGTCTAGTTTTCTACGTCGTTAATGGCGTATGAAACTATCAATCGTAACAAAATTAGTATTTCAAAAATTTCGACAGCATGCTAACTTTAAAAAAATTTCGATGATCGAATCTACAAATTGCTTATGTCATCTCAAAACTTATTTCGANCCCCCAACGTTAAAGTTCTGCTTCCGCTCCTGATTATGAACGCTGTGGAAGAAATAAATAATATTGTTAAATAATAAAATGCTATTTTAGTTAAGACATTATTGTGCATATAAATCAGTCTATGATTAGTAGATAAAGAATGGAGAAATATTGTGGTCTGTAATGTTCTTAGATAGAGAGAATTAAACAATTTGTGAGCTTATTAAAAGTGTTGAAAATCAAGCAAGAAAATTTGGCAAATCAATGAGAATGTTAAAACTGTTGAAAATAAAACCAGCTGATTATATCAAGACTTCTTATTAGTGTTTTATCTAAAAAAAAAAAAATGAAGCTTCTTTGGAGAATAGTCTCCATGAGAGATAATATACATTAAATTCATGTCTGGTGATGATTAAAATCGAAATTTTTAGTTAATTTTAATAAATATTTATGAAATATATAGTTAAAATTAATTATTGACTTTAACCTTGATAAAAATCTAGATTTTAATCTCAATCGAGAGTAAATATTACTGTAAAATCCCATTTAATGAAGATATTAAGAGAGGGGCTTTAAAAAGAATCAGTCAAACTTGATCATAAAATTATAGGGAAATGTATAAAACCAGGTGCTAGTTTACAACTTACTGTCATTAGACAATTTCATCATCCTGATAGTGTAGTTACACTTTACATATCATAATTTACATTATGCATTATGGTTAAAAAAAAAAAAAACATTTGTTGAAAAATTTACAAATTAATATCTCATTATAAATAACTTAAATAAAATAAAAAAAATCACACCCTATATATTATATTATAACATTTTTCATACTATTTTCTAATTATTGATTTTTCATTAAATGTGTTTCTTTAAAGTAGTTTTTACTATAATTTTTCTATAACCTTCTTTTTCTAAACTCTTAACATCAAACCAATAATAATTAATTTAGTAAGTTAACAAAATTTTGAAAAAAATTAGAAAATAGTTTATTTGATTTTTCCAATATTGTAAAAATAAATAAAAATTCTTAATTTGCTATCTTCTAATTACATAAAATTTGTTTTATGAATAAAAAAAATGAATTTAAATTATTTGTGATTTCATATGTGATTTTGTAGCTAAAAAAAAAAAATTCCTTATTGATTTTAAGTGGTATAAAAATGCTGCATAATATTATGTGTATTTATTGCAGGGAAGCAAGCTTCATATAAGATAAGAATCTATAAATAAAACTATATATTTTTTGCATAAAAAATAAAAATAAAATGAATTATGCAAATGATGCAGTAAAATGATTTGATCGGATGTTAATTTATGAAGAGATAGATGAATGAGAAAGAAAAATATTACTTAAAATGAAATAATAACTGAATTTTTGGAGTGTTACGTAATGTGATACAAATTGTGTAATTTTTTATTTTTAATTACGAATATTTTGGTGTAATTAGCAAAAGTTATTTTTTGTTACCATACTATAAATTGTAAATTTAGAAAATATGGTATATAAAATGTAAATACGCCATATGTATAGGAAGTATTTTTGTAAATTTTTCTAATTAATATCCATAAAAGTTAATCTGAGCAATAAGCCCCTGTTTGACCGCCTTTTTTTTTTTTAAAGAACGGGTTTTTGAATTGTAATTTTTTGGAGAATGTGTTGTTGAAAATAAGTATGAGAAAAAAATGATTTTAAAAGAATGATTACGAAATAGGGCTAATTTCAACATAGTTCTATCTAATCCAGGACAAAACTAGTCCTAAATTGGGCGTGTTTGGCTATGTTTATACTGTACTTAAGAACAACTTAAGATGATGTTTGGTGGGGATTAAAATTAGATTTTAAGTGGATTGTGATGTAAGATTTTGAATGTGTTGTTGAAAAGACGTTGGACCCATAAAAGATGTGGTTAATATTTATTGTTGGAGTTAGACTTAAATTAAAATTAAATTTTAATCCGACCCAAACATGCCATAAATCTGAGCATATTTACAATATATTTGTTTATTTATTTTTTTATGCTTAGCCAAACACCGTACAACTACTCCTCCTCCAGTCTTTTTTGACCTAGCGTGTTGTTAACGACTCTCATAAGATGGAATTAATAAGTAAATTAAACTATAGCCGTCAAGCCTCCTTTCCACTTTCATTGATTCATTGTATCTCAACTTTATATAAACAAAAAAAACCCCACAATCTGATTCTTCTTCCCTTTGAATTCTTGAGTCCTTTATAATGGAGAATTATCCAACAATATTTCAAGCTTCATCTTCAACCCCAGCTGCTTCTCATTTGTCTATGTTAAACATGGCGAATTCTCATGCAGGAGCTGAATTTCAAGATCAAAAGTTAAATCAGTACTTGGGGCTGATGCCACCTCGTACTGAAACTCCTATTTCGTTCATGAACAATAATATTGTTGCTCAGAGGAATAACCTCGGAGATGCCGGAACTGCAGAGGTTAAATCGGACAAGAAATATAAGGTCGAGAAGAAACCTCGAAAACCTAAATTTGCTTTTCAGACAAGAAGTCAGGTTGATATACTCGATGATGGGTACAGATGGAGGAAATATGGTCAGAAAGCTGTGAAAAACAACAGATTTCCAAGGTCTATTGCTTCTTCTTTTTCCCACTTAATTTCAGTTAATTTTAACTTATAAATTATAAGCACGAGAGTTTGCTATACTGTGTATATGCACATGTGTCTGTGTTTAGGTTTGATTGCATTCAAGATTTTAGTTTTGGAAAATTTTTTACTTTCTTTCAGTAGTTTGGTTGCTATTGATCTTTTGGAATTTGCATCAATTAATAGATCTTACATAAAGTAAATGATAAGGGAACGATCGGAATACTTTTGGGCAATTCGTTGGAAAGAATGAATCAAACAATTTCAAGTAAAAACATAAAAGAATTAAAGATGGAACATGTTTGTTTGTTTATTTCAATTTAATTTCAACGAACTCATCAGATGTTTATTTCTTATAAAGTCTTTTAAGTGCACAAATTATTAACGATAGTCGATTTAATGATTTATAACATTTCTCCCTCTGTCGATATATACGCACACAATCTCTTTCTTGATTTTGTTAAGGATAATACACGAGTATTAATAAGGCAAATATCTTGAGAACTCGTTATGCTATAGATATTCATCTACATGGATGAATTAACAAATTTCTTATTATTTTCTGTATTTGCAGAAGCTATTATCGTTGCACGCATCAAGGGTGCAACGTCAAGAAGCAAGTTCAAAGGCTATCTAAAGACGAAGAAATAGTAGTCACAACATATGAAGGACAGCACTCCCATCCAATGCAAAAATCCATGGAAAACTTCGAGCATATTCTCAGTCAAATGCAAATTTATAATTCCTGTTAAGCACAAATCATATCCTCAGATATGTAGAGTGAAATGAACATTATGTAAAACTTATCTGTATTTTAAACTAGATATTTATTGGAATAATTTGTACGATGTATGGGTTAGACTTAGATCATTGTGTAGAACTGAAAAAATAGTTAAGTCTTTTTTTTTCCTCTCAGTTGATTAATTAGAGCATATTTGTTAAGATCAAAAGTTAATTTCGACTTTAAGTTTTAGCAGAAAAATGTATAACTTGTAAAATTGCCTTTTTCTCTTGTTCTCACATCCTTTCCCGATGTGGGCAATCTGAACCAAGATAGTGAATTTTCTTTGTATGTGAGTTCGAGGTAAGGTGTGTGTGTGTGTGTTTTTTTTTTAGGTAAACAGAGAATAATAAGGAAGCAATATTACTAGAGTATGTGAAATTGTGATAGTTTCCAATGACACTAAGCCCCTATTTGGCCCCCATTATTATCCATTTTTTATGGTTGAAAATTTTTGGAATAGTGATTGATGGGAGAATGTGTGATGGAAAAGTAGTAAAATATTTTTGATTTGTGTGTAATATTATTTTATTTGATAAATGTGTGGTTGTAATGAAGAGAGAGAAAAAATTAATGTAATGTAAATGAATTTAATGGTGGCCAAACAGGGGCTAAGTGTGAGATTTCATAACAGAACATGTGAAGTGGTTACCGAGGCATGAAAGGACAATATGTAACCTCATAGTGTTGGTTGAGGTGCCTCACCAGTCCTAGGTTCAGGGGCATAAAATGGTTCTGAAAAGTCGCTACCGTAAAGCCTAGTTTTGACCTCTGTAAAGTAAATTGGTAGTTGACTGTGAAATATGTGCTGTAAAGATATCATATCAATCAATAATCGAAAAATCTTATACTCTTGGAATACGTGGAGCAAGAGTGTCTTCTCATATTAAGAGGTTAATTGTCTCAGATTTACTTTGCAGCAAGTTATAACACATTGCCGAGACCATGGAAGGTCAGACTTTACAGATGTCTCGACTAAGGTGATGCACTACTTCAACTACCTCAAATCTATGGCCTCGGTTAAGTCGGTTAGGATAGTGACGTAGGGTGCAAGCTGATTGACCTTGATATTGGCTGTCATACGATCGATACTTGGAGTCTCGTCGGTTGAGGTGTAACAAGAAGCACTTCATCATTGGCATAGAAAATAAGCTTAAAAATAACTTGTATTTCTATTTAAGATTAGGATCTTAACTAAATATCATAGGTTGCAGTGCAATAGCCATTTTTGACTAAAAAAAGTCAGGTGAGATATATGGATAATGATATAAGGTGACATGAGCGTAGAAATACTGAATAGACACGTCATTTACGTTTTCAAGTGGATACCTTAATATGATCACCTTCTAGTTTCTATTGAATCTTAATAATATTAGAATTCTAAGCATAAAAACTCTTTGATTCATGCACGAATACAAAGAATTTGAACTCTTGATTTTAAATATCAAATATCGAGAATTTATGAGATTGGAGAATTCCAAAATCTATAATTTCAACTCAAATTAAATAACTTATTACTATGAAAACTTACCACTCTTATTTAAAGAAATATATTAGTATATATATAAATACTAAAATCTAGATAATTATTAAAAATAAAATATAATGACGAAAATTTAAAACTCTGATATTCAAATTTAATCAGAAATAAACGAAATTAAAATTAAAATATAACTAAAAGATAAAGACCAATATTAAATTATTGGTATTCCGGTTTAATCATAAATAAACGAAATTAATATTCAAAAAAATTTAATATATAATTATTAATTAAAAGATAATTAAAAACTTGATTTTAATCAGATAATGTTATAATACTCCAACCATGCAAGACCTACTTAATTTAGATAATTTATTTTCAATTTAATGGAAAGATTACTGCTAAAGAGCGAATTGATTAACATAATTTCTCCCAAAAATATCAAAGATACTATGTTAATAAAAATTCTGAAATAGAAAGAGGAGCTCTCAGGTTACTAATTAATTATAAATTTCCAAATGAAGTTTTACAATGGATTAGATATCACATTCCAAATAAAAATGATCTTTTAAACAATTCTCGAATTTATTCTAAATTTGATTTAAAATTAGGATTTTGGCCAATACAAATCGATGAAAAAGATCAATATAAAACAAAACTTCATCAAGCAAAAGACCTAATTCCCGTAATTAAATTGATTAATTAATGGAGTGTTTAGAGTCCCATTTTTTGAAAGAATGAATTTTGTAATAGCGATTTTTGGAGAATTCAGGATTTAAAAGTAAGAAAACTTTTTGACTTTACGTATAAAATTATTTTATTGGAAGCATATATAAATTTAAAATGAATTTGGAAAAAAAATTATATAATGAGGCTCAAACATGGGCTAAAGATGACAAACACATTAAAACCAAATAATAAATCAATGGATTGCATCCACACTTACTTCTAAAAATTAGGAGAAAATTTTAACTTGTGAAATATCTAATCAATTTTATATCTAGAAAATTTAATTTCTATATCTTTTTTTTTTTCCTAAATTGAATTTATTGTTGATTTTCCATAAAATAAAATTTCACCCCGGACCCATTGAAGCCTAACTTGCCCAATAAATCATTGAGGGCACAATCATAAATCTAGCGAATTCTCGCGGGCTCTTTCTATGAGCTATATTCACACCATATTTTTTATAAATACATCATAATTTAAATATTATTAAGCCCATGTTTGGTGGGGATTTGTTATAAACTAGAGAGAAAATAGAGAGAAGTCAATAATTTGTGTGTTTTATTGAGAACCATAGCCCTATATTTATAGGGAATGATTAGGGATACAATTTTAATAATTTCTTGGGATGCGGGATACAATTGTCATTAACTAACAAACTCACCATTTACAATAATTCCCATTGAATGACAAATTACAAAATATCTGTCTCGTTAAAACCTTGTTAAGAAAATTCAGTGGAATAAAACTTAATTAAAGGAAAAATAGTACAACTGCTCCCCCGATTTCAATCTTTATATCAATTCATCATTGTCTTATATGTGAATGTTTTCAATATTGTAATTCTGGTGAAGTACGTTTCGTGTTCTCTTATCACAACATTCAAATAATACCGTTTTCATACAAGATATTTATCAACTTTTGATAATTGCTGTAACATGATGATTTGAAAAACAGCTTTCAATAATCTCTTCGGGAGTCTCATACATATCAAAGCATTCTTTTGAGGGTAAATATCTCTTCGATTATGGATAATCATTACACAAAGAATATGACTCATTAAAATCTTATTAGAAAAACCATAAATATTGTCTCATTAAAAATCTTGTTATAAAAACCTAATGGGAAATTCACCACATGACAATTAATCTATGTATACAAATTTTTGCGAAATTCATTATGTAAAGAGTTGTACATTTCATATTATGACCTTAATTTTTTTTTTTCATTTTGTACAAGTATATATCTTTAGATGTTCTGTAAATTGAAAAACTTTAGGTTTCTCTAATAAGTTTAATTCTATTAGGATCGCATCCAGTAACTTCAAGTTTCTCTAGTAAATTCAATTTTAGTATGCTCGCATCATTTTACTTGACAAATTATTATTTCGGTCGATATATTTCAACGAATTTATTTCGTTTCCTCGCTATTCATAATATGATGTAGTACATCATGGGTAAAAGTGTTGTCGACAACTTTTTTTTCTTTTCGATTCTATTTCTTTTCCCATAATGGCATAACTTGTGATATTTAAAACTTGTTATGTCTAAATACTCATTAACAGTATATTCCTTCTTAATATGACTATCTTTATTAATTGCTTTATTTTCGTTTGTGATTTTTTTATATTCGAATTGAATATCATCACACTTTAGGAGTGCCATAAATTTATCAAATATAATATTAACGAATTGTCCTTCTAAGAGTCAATTCGAGTTGGAACATTTAAAATTGGTGTGTGAGATTGTTAATCTCTTTGATTAGTAAATGCATCTAAATGAATTACCTTTCAAACTTCTAGTTTGAATTATCTTTTACGAGAATTTAGATAATGAAACATTTGTACATTGGGTTAATTTCACAAATGGTCACTGAAGTTACAGTAAAATTACAGAATGGTCACTGAAGCTCGAAACTTGCATAAATGGTCACTCAACTTTCAATCACTTTCAAAAATGGCCACTGAGAAAAATTAAGGGACTCCTTTGTTCTAATTGAAACCTAAATTAACAAAACACGGCCGCTTCAAAATTGGAGGGGCTGAAGTGCAGTTTCCTTTGGATAAAGCACCACGCCAAACAAACACGGCCCCTTCAAAATTGGAGGGGCTAAAGTGTAATTTCATTTGGATAAAACACCAAACCAAACCCTATCCCTTTCATTTGAACTGCAAACCGGCGATTTTCTAAAATGCCCAGACACGCCACACTTCCAACCGACGAGAAGAAAATCCAGAAACATGGGTCGAAAGGTCAGCCTTGACACTCCCAAACCATAGGTAAGCTTCCAATCAACCTTAATCATCGGAAGCCCACCTCAAGGAGACCCCAAACATGCCAACCATTCATCCCAAACAACTTCCCAACAGATCGAAGTTTCCCTTGAAGAACAATTTGTCGCCCAGTTTGCAACAACGTACCATTCAACTGCAATCCAACGTCGATTCGGCCAATCAGGATGGCGCACCACCTGAGCTGGGTGCGCCCTCATATGGCGCACCTAGCCTAGTATTGGGTCTTCACCAATTTGGCCCCAATCGAAATGAATTTGAATTTGAAGTTTGGAATGGTGCGAACTCGCGAACGCAGAATCGAATTTCTGCCAATTCTGATGAAACTCAGGCCATCCAAGGGGGGTGGACCACCTGGGCTAGCCTTCCCTCAGCATTGTGCACCTAGCCCAGTAATGGGTCTTCACCAATTGCATCCAAAATCTGTCTAATTGATTGTCGCCATTAGCGGTCTGTACAAAAAATTGGATTTTCA